TTTTTTCATATATTTTAGACTCTCAAAATCATGGAATGAAGTAAATATTCTCTACTTAATGACTTTAAAAAGTAATGTTATATATATTTTTAAAAAAATTAACAATAAAAATGTGTTAAAAAAATATGTGGTTAAAGCATTCCCCCGACTCTTAATTAATATGTCCTGCTAATAGTTAGATTAAAATAAACTTACCCTATTCAATCCTTTCTATCATGCTCATTTATATAATGTATTAGGATTGAGGAAGTTAATTAATTTTTTTATTAGTGTCAAAAATTACAACAATGACAACAAATATCAAATATAATTCTTTATGCACTTATCCTCATTCTTACTATTAGACTAATCCTAGTAGTTAAGAAGTATTAATTTATTGATAGTATTATTTGTTCTATTGTTTTTTTAAAAAGGAAAGTTTAATGAGATTCTTATTTTACCAACTATGAAGAAAAATAACTTTAATTTAAAATATTTTTTGTAAAAAAATAATCCAAGAGATATTTAAGATTAAATCTTATAAAAAAAAAGAATAAAACACTCATTTTTATTATTAATACAATTAATTAACTTATATACTAATTAAAAAATTATTTAATATCATTTAAATTTATTAATCTCAATTAGAATTAAACCATTTATTATAGTGTTCTTCATACTGAAATTTTGTATCAAAATTAAAAAAATATTGAAATAGAATCTTAATTAAAAGAATATTTTGATATTAAAATTAAATAGGTTAAAATTATTAATATATATATATATATATAATTTACTCCACCATTTATAATTTTTTTGTTTATTTTTGAGTTTCGAGAAAGTATCGTTTTACATTTTTTTGTTGATAAAATTTTAAGTAGTTTTTACATCACATGCATAATAGAATGGGATGACAAATAGATGATTTTTTTTTATATTTATATATTAAAAAAATACTATAGTTTAACGTTTATAAGTACAATCGATAAATATTGCCCATACCAAAAAAATTAAATTAGTTTTTTAAAATATATAGTTTAACGTTTATAAGTGTTTTTTTTTTTTTTTTTAACTTCAGTTAAGTTAAACTTAACTGATTGTTAAATTACACATAGCCACATACACTCTTCAGTTGCCTTTTTGTTATAATCTTATTTATTTATGTATTTATTTGTATGGGAGGATATTTGCATTAACTTTATCATGTTAGTCAAAATTATAAGCCTCAGTCGATTTTTAAGGTAATTTTTCAAGAATTAATTAATTTCTCTCTCTCTTTTTATTTTTTATTTTTAACTTTAAACTTAAAACAGTTTTCCTTTCCTGTTAATCCTATCAAACTGTATTTGTGAATTGGTTTAAGTTAAAGAGTTAATCCCATACACTGTTAGTGTAAAAAAATTTTACACTGACAACTAATTAAATCTTTTAATTGTGTCATGTCACTAATAAAAGTAAATGTGTTTATAGTAATATGACACAATTAAAAAATCTAATTAATTACTAATGTAAACAAACTTTACATCAGCAGTATATAGTCTGAGAGTTTGTTAAAAGAACCCCTGTCTGAGCCCACAAATGTTCATAGGATCATAAATTACAATTCTACTTATTGCAATTAACAAAGCAACAAGTCCATTAGATATTAAAAGGTCCTCCAGGCCCACATCAAAATGGGCCAATTAAGCATTAACGTTTCTGAAATAGGTACAGTTCCTCAAGTTAACCTGTGTTTTTTTTAATGATTTTTTTTGTGTAGCCTGAAAGCATTTTATATAGAAGACCAATTATATTCGAGCTTAGATTGAATATTTATATGTTTGGTTAAATATTTATATGACAAAAAGTCCAAACTAAAAAACCCGCGCAAAAAGAACAGACAAGTCTACAACTAAATGAATCAGTACTCAATTATAACTTTGTATTTTTTTTTGTCAAAAAGAATTTAATTTTCTGTAAAAGAAAAAGAATTTAACTTGTTTAATTAATTGAAACAAGTACGTTTAGTAATCAATTATCCATTTAGGGTATGGTTGTCTATTTTCAAAGAAAAAACATTATTAATTAAAACTATGTAATAATGATATACAAATTTATTTTGACACCAAATAATGATATAAATTAAAAAAAAAAAAACTTTAAATCAATCATATTAAAACTTAGTTTTAAAGGGCTAAACTTGAAATGAAAGTCGTATACATAGAGAGAGGTAAAAACGAAACTTAGCCTATCAGTTAAGTGTATGTTTAAGTAAGCATTTTAAAACTTAATTTTAAATGGATTTCATTTTCTATATATATATATATATATATATATATATATTATATATATATATA